CAAGAACACAATACAATTATTAAATTGTAAATAAGTAGCAATGTCAGTAAGTAAAACACTATAAAACAATTTAGATGGAAAACTTGAATTGGTCACTATTAGGAAGAGAGCAAGTCCCCATCCACGTCCTCGTCAGGTTCGGGAGCATTACTCTCACTCTCCTTCCTAGGAAAGGAAAAAAATGTAAGTATTATCGGTTACCGTCGGTGTTAATACTTTGTTTACGAGGATAACTGTATGACTTATTCCTAGTTGTCACAGCTTCCCTTGCACTTTTTGCAGGCAGGAGTGCAAAGTTACCCAGCTTTTCACGCTTTTTATAACTTTTGCCCTTTTTTGCTGGTATTCCAGGTCGAACAGCTTAGACTACACTAACTTCTTTAATATTAAGACGAGTGCTGTTCAACGCTGAACAGTGATTGCAATACCAGACTGCAGGAACATCTTCAAAAAAAAAAAAAAAAAAAAAAAAAATTCATAAGTTGTTACACCTGCTAATTAGGACCAATACAAAATATGAATTTAGATCATGGTTATTACACGTACCATTCTCTTTGATATTAATGCAGTCACCGTGGAACCAGTTGGGGCATAAGTCACAACCAACCATAAATCTGAATTCAAATGAAACATGGACATGATGTCTTTTAGCAAGATGCTGTAATCATGAGCTGGATAGCATAGGCAAAGATTTCAGCTCATTATCTTAAATGCCAAATATCATAGCAAATAAAATTATTCACCTTGTAACCCCATAGTACAAGGTAGGGAAAGTGCCTACCATAAAAATTAGATTGTGCAGAAGGATATAAGTTACTTACAATTCTCCCTCATCCCGCCTCAAGCACACACAATATAATTTTGTGTCTGCGTCTACTTTCATTTTCTTTCTCGGTATTTTTCACTTTCAACTTTTAAACTTTTAAGACGGTTGAACCTTTGAAACACCACCTAGACCGAAGAAGTAGGACAGGTCCGCGATTCGAAAAGACGATCGGCCGGCGCGCACGAACTGCGCCGCGAGCTCCCTCTGGCGCCGGGAGAGACGAAACTAGCCATAGCCTCGCTCCGGGAGCGGGTCTACGCCATATGGGTATAAAGTAGATTCTGGCGGTCCAGCGCGCTGGCTGCGCACCTCCTTTGTTTTGATCACGTTGCTACGCGACGCGCCGCTGGAGTGGGGGGACCGTGGGAGCGGTGAAAAGGTCTATTACTCCAGTGGTGATCAAAAAGTTCCGCGTCTGTGTATGTGTGTGTTTGTTTGTCATCACGATAACTCGAGAACCGTTTAAGCTAGGTACTTAAAATTTTTACTGTAACTTTGTGTCATAAAAAGCAAGAACTGTATTTTCAGACCTCTAGTTAAAAAAAGTGACCTGTCCAAAAAATCAAAAACAAAAAACGCAAAAAACTGATTTTACAAAATATTTTTGTTACATCTTTCTTAGAGGTAACTCGTCAAAGTACAACCCGTAGGTCCAAAATTTCGTCTGTTTGACTAAATCTAAAACCGTTTAGGCACCAGAGGGCGATATCCACACGGAAATGACCCCAAAAACATTCGAATGTTTTTTTCTCAGATATTTGATGATCTGCGGCGGGGTACTTGTCAAAATAAAATCCCAAGGAACAAAATTTGTGACTTTAGGGGCCAAATGCCTATTTACGACGACTCTGCTTTTTGTCCGACTCGGGTGTCAGCGCCGCAGGCCTAGGTAGATGCATGCCAGGCCCGTCGCAGCGCAACAGTGTTTCGTGAGACCGACGTAGCTCACAAGCGCAACGGCTCGCAAGCGCAACGGGCCACTAGCGCAACCGCGGGGAGCCGCCTGTAAGACGGCATCGACGAAGCCAGGAGCGGGAGCGGAGTGCGCAGCGAGCGAGAAATCAACCGAGCCTTTGGTCGCTGTGCACTTCTCGCGTAGAATGCAGTACCATTTAGACACTTGTAAACGCTTTGGCAGCCGCACTGCACCCGCGTCGGCGCGTCAGCGATTACTCTTTAGGTTAAATAAATAATTATAAATGGCGTTGAAGTGAGCTTGAAGTCGGGAAACTTCGGTGTGAGTGGTGTCCGGACCAGCTTTACCGGAATGCTTTATTTCTTTGTAACTGCGACCGTTGTAGGCGAATAACTGCTTGCCCACGGCAACATAAGAACCATTTGAAATTATATTTCGACTGTTGAAAACCATTTGCTTTTCATTTTCAAATATTTCCTTATTTGTATGTTACCTCGCGGAGAGACCGAGTGCAGTTACGGACCCAAGAAAAAATAAGCGTTTTGTTAAGGAATATCTGACCTTGTAGCCCCTTACTACGTGATTGTTCGAAACCCTGTTTGTTTGGGTATAGGACGGAGATACAAGAAACTGATCCGAAATAGGTTCAGTCGCTCTACAAGGAGGGCGATTCTAAAAGAAGAGTCACTCAAGCGTAGAGTCGTCTTCAAATCAGATGACACACTTTGCAAGTTTTTGATAAATAGCGGTTCGCAATGGATCGCAAGGTCTTGTGCTGCTATTCGGAAATTTCAAATATAATCGCTTATACCAACTATCAAACAGAACAAGGAAACGACCCACGACCCCCTTTTAGTATGCCCTGCCAGTCTAAATTTCGATCACAGCAATCAAATTTCTAGCTGCAGCCAAGAGTTGTAAAACAGTCCCTACTCTCCTCCCTCAACCAGATATAAAGTTCAATTTCTCTTAGGAGCGGTTCTGATTGCCACGACCCGCTTGTTGTCGCCACTAAACCTGCTCCAGCTGTGCCGATTGGTTGTCACAATTGAAAAGTCGATACTGCTGGCATCTATCAAGAAAAATGGGCGTGGCGGTCGACTAATGGCTGCCCCAACCAACCATTGGAACATCAGAACAGCCTGTATTTTCTTGACAGCGCTCACCTGCATACGGTGAGCAAGAGCCGCGTGCAGGTCAGCACAGGTCGAGTAGATGACTATGACGAGTGGCAGCATGGTGTAGAAAGCCGTGAAACTGCACACGAGCCCAAACGCCTGCTCCATGAAAGCAGCCCAGTGCAACCAGTAGAGCGAGTTGTCCCTGCCAGGTCAGAAAACAAGTAGAAAGTACTACGAAGAAACGTCCACCGCAGTGATTTATCCCAGTTCACATGCTGACGGTTTTCCTCTCGCTATTACTGTCACGGCAGATAAATGATAAGTTACGGAGTACCGACGAATGAAACACTTGCAAAAGCACAACTACGCAGATGTACACTTGTAACCACTTAACTGCTTGCAGTTGCACACTTGCAAGTGTTAAGAAGTTTGCACACTTGGTTCATCAGTGTCGGAGGACTCTAGTTTATCGGCACAGTTTTCATGGCTTTCGCTCGAACAACTTTCTATTATACCCCTTTGTAGGTATTTCTGTAGGCGCTTGTCTCTATTGCAAAGCACGCAAGGTGCTCCGGCCCGGCGCAACCACGGAACACCGCGGAGCCTCCGTGAAATCAGAAAGCACGCACAGCAAACCAGCGCTGACCATCGATGATTTTCAAAAAAAAAAAAAAAAAAAAAAAAAAAAAAAAAAAAAAAAAAAGAGATAAATGTGTATTTTGCAAGAAGGAAACGTCCTCTTTCTAACGACATAGGTCTCAAAAATCATTCCAATAATAGAGATGCGTGGTTTCGGCGGAGCCTAAGATCTGTGCATGGTTTCGGCAGCGCCGGAGACCCGGACCGCTGTGCGTACTTTGAGGGAGGCTCCGCGGAGCTGCAAAGTTCCGCCAGCGCCGGAGTGGTAGGCGTGCTGTGCAATAGGGACAAGGGTTTGGTAGTGAATGAACCTGTGGTCAAAATATTGGGGTGCATATTCATCATCAAGTGCCATTTTGTGCGAAAATAAAAGGCTGGAAAACGTTGGACAATATTTGACTCTCCCGAATGGGGTCTAAACTGAAGTGATTCCCCTTAATAGCCTACATTTTCAAACTCAACATTCCCGAACAAAATATTTTGTACCGCACTGTAGGTACAATCTGCTGACTCGCAGGGCGCATATTTTGCTTGTGTTGCCGTAAGTCGAACGGTTTTCGTGTTACAGCCAAATTACAACAATTATTCCGATCAATTTCTATTTTTACCGATTTAGACAAAGAAATGACTTTCATGAGACCAGGCTATATCACAGAAAATGTTTAGAAAAGTACAAAACAGAAGATATTTCCGGCCTATGGTTCGCAAAATGGTGCCTTCTTTACTTTGAAATAGCAAAATTTTGAGCTAAAATTGTTGAGTTTGCAAACGGGGCTATTTTGGGGGGTTAAGTCCCCTTGCGGTGCAAATACTTTTCGATTTTGGGGAGACAATTGTAATTCTTTCCTTACAAAATGACACCCAATGGTCAACATGCCCTCAAAATTTTAATCATAAGTTCATTTTGGACTACCCTTGTATTTCAACTGCTCAAAAACCTACTCAGGCTACTTCTTTTAGAAATATGAACAAATTATATTCTATCTTACTGCGAAGATTACACGACTTCGACCAACCCCTGTACACCTCGACGAATCCGTGCAACAACGACGGATCAGAAAGCGGTTGCTAAACAAAGGCAGATCTGCAAAACGACGATGTCGAGATAATCGCGATTTTTCGCGAAAAACAGACTTTAATAGCGTCTCACAAATCTTGTGAACATCGTATCGAACTAGCTGACATCTCATTTCCATCCTCACACATTTCTGAGTAACTTTTGCTAAAGTCACTTTCGTCATGTAATCGTATATTCGGAGTTAGTGCGATGTTTCTGAGGTGATGCACTGAATTTGGCTGCGACAACGGTTGTTTCTTTGACGTTAGCGTAGCGATTTCTGTTTTGTGACAGGTAAGCTGCAAGCGCTCCTGGATGCACCCTTACCCGAAACACAGGCGCGTCAAACGGGTTACCTGCCTATGCCCCGCCCCGCTGCCACAACTAGACCGATACCTGACTGAATCTATCGCCACCGTGAAAGTCGGCGGGTTATTTTGAAACTATGAATAACATTTAATTATTAATTAACCCTGGCGACACGCAGAAGACGATGCGCTCGCGCCCACCATCCGCATCACCAGGCACACCGCTAGATGCCAGCCCGGTCGGGCGCCTGCAGTTCAAGGACGCCGTGTCATTCAGCACTACCGGCAGCGCACAGCCTCGGCCGCGCGGTATTGAAGGGGGCGAACTGCTGGGGGATATAAAACACCGAGCGGAATAGTACACCTGGTAATGAGGGGGGTATAAAATTCTAGAGGATTACATATGAGACGCTGAGACGCTAGTAGCCCCAATTCGACGACCTGCCACTCTGCGCCCGAGTCGGTGGCGTAGGGACACGCGTCGTGACCCGGGCGGCTCGCATATCCGCCTTTGTTGCGCGCTGCAATCGCATTGTCGTGTAGATCTACCTCTTTGTTCTTCATAAAAGTAAAGGCTTAACAATTTTTGTTCGACCGTTTGGTGATCACAGCTAGAGAGTACGGGTCTTTAATGATAATGTAGCGTCAAAATCTCAATAATGCCAAAATGTTGCTTACGTCGTTCTTTAGCGACCACTTTCTGATCCGTCGTTGTTTAGCGACCGCGTTTTGCCCCGCCTTTGTTGCACGGATTTGTCCACCTGAAGAAACAGTCCAATTCCAATCTCCCAATAATCCCCAGGCAATCTATCCCAATCCCATTTCAATCTATCCCAGAGGAATTTTGGTAAATGGGACGTGTATTCCACGCAGATTTGTCATGTGGATTCAACGTTGAGCCTCCACGTGACATCCACGTGGATTTGACTCCCTTTTCCACGATGCCGTATAAGTTTACATCGCCTCACTGACGTGCTGTCGGCGTGCAGCCGGTAAATCCAGCGGAGGGACCACTGCGGGTCGTTGGTAAGCGCGTACACAGCTGGGAACTGCAGCATGAGGCACACACTGAACAGCACTAGCTGGCGACAGAATAAGCTGCCCCTTCTTGCGGTCCGCCGCATCCGTTTCTGTACACACATTCACACACAAATGCGTTAGTCGCTGATAAAATAGCACGACAAAGTTATTAATCAAAACAATGTGAGAAAAGATAGCAGTGTAGCGTACACACAGTGTACATTCGAAAGACATGACAATGTAACCAACAGAACAAGCTGGCCCGCTCTTCCGCCATACGACGTTGCCAGTGTACTACGCTCTCAGGGACTCCGTTGGGCACGGCAGGGTCTGCTTGGCTTGACGGCGGCGTTTTGGTTGGATCTCTACGACCGTCTGCGACCCGACCCATAAGTCCTTATTCGAGTTTATTCTGCCATTAATCCAGGCTGCGTCTGCGACCCTATAAAATGTGTTTCTTGAATTTGAGGGGATAAAGTTCAGAGGCTTCTCTCTGTACACTGTTAGAAATTTCCACGGAATTTTGAACGGAATTGTCAAGAAATTTTTTTCACGGAATGTACCGTATAACGACACTTGAAACCTATACACACGGAGTTCGTGGAGGCTCCGTATAAACACGCAGTTCCCTGAGGCTCGGTACAAACACGGAGTTCAGCAGGCCGCCGTATAGCGTCGTAACTATGTTTTTTGAAAATTTCGAGTTATGAAGTGCGTCGGATAGAGGAAACCAAGGGCTATCGATCAGCGAAAACCGCATTTCGATATGTCAATTAGTTCAAAAGTAATTCTGGTCTGAAAATCCAGCCGCCCATAAGGCGCAATGTAAATCCAAAACTTTGAAGCGCTACATCTCAGAAGTGACTTTCAAGCACTTACGACGTTATACGGGGACCCGCTGAACTGCGTGTCTGTACGGAGCTGCCTGGAACTACGGGTTTATACGGAGACTCCACGAACTCCGTGCTTGTAGGTTTCAAGTGTCGATAAATTTTTCGTATTTTTTACGGAAACCATACGGGGAAACCGTAATCTAAAGTTACGGATAAACCGTAAGATTTTCCGTAAAATTTTGACTTATTGATTTGGGAAAATAATAAATTGCACTGTAAGTCGAAGAATTGGATTTTGAGAGATACGAGAGCGTAAAGTTATGGTTTTGCGAAAGAGGCAATAATATTATCTCTATGGACAGCTCAATTGTTTTAACTATTGGTTTAAAAAAAATTTAATATTTAATTTGACGGGGAAAATGTACGGGATGCACCGTTATTTGAAATACGGACAAGTCCGCATCTTTAAATTACAGTCATCCCGTTACGGTTTGGTACCGTATTTGGAATTTACGGTGAGTTCCGTAAGAATTCCGTAATTAGCCTACGGAATTTCTAACAGTGATAGCTCCACCTCCCCGATGCCACTTAATCGTCGTGCTGCAATGTGTTTTAAAATACGATACCACCCAGTATGCTTTGACATAAAAACGACGAGCGAGAGCTGACAGGTACCATGATCAGGTTCTAGTGAGGGATCTATGTGGGTGAAGTAGGGTCGCTGCATGACTGTCAAGTCTTCACAAGAAGTCCTTCAGGTACAAACATTTTTAAGAATCAAAATATGCTTCACCGACCAACACATCTTCGGAGACGCGGCTTACGTTTTGACAGACAAGGAAAGAAAGGCCCTTTTTAGCAGATGATACTTCCAGTATCACTGCTTGTACAACACCTACTTAAACTGACATTAAGCAAATATTAAACATTTTTCTATTCTATTCTCATATAAGGTTAAAAATGTTTAATATTTGCTTAATGTCAGGAAGGAAGGGGGGATAAGTGGTCCAAAAAAGTGGTTCGTCTCCGCCCACCTGTTGCTCTACCTAGTGCCAACATATTACTTGCTGTGTCAGCAAAATTATTTGCTCAATCAGCAAAAGTATTTGCTGGATCACCAAAATTATTTGCTGGATAGAAAAAGAGAGGAAGGGGGGGGGGGGATAGGTGGTCCCGCAAAAGTGGTTCGTCTCCGCCCACCTGTTGCACTATCTAGTGTCCACAAATTATTTGCTGTGTCAACAATATTATTTGCTGGATCAGCAAACATTAAACATTTTTAACCTCAAATTAAGCTTTTTTTAAAGTGTCTATATAAAGAATAGAAAAAGAAAGGAAGGAGGAGGGGATATGTGGTCAAAAAAAAGTGGTTCGTCCCCGCCCACCTGTTGCACTACCTAGTGTCAACAAATTATTTGCTGTGTCAGCAAAATTATTTGCTGGATCAGCAAAATTATTTGTTGGGTAGGAAAAGAGAGAAAGGAGGAGACAGGTGGTCCCAAAAAGAAGGTTCGTCTCCGCCCACCCTGTTGCACTACCTAGTGTCAACAAATTATTTGCTGTGTCAGAAAAATGATTTGCTGGATCAGCAAACACCTACTTAAACTGA